GCTCCGAGCAACGACTGCTCCTCCAGTCTTCTCCGGCGAACGGCGACGAACAGGTCCGGCGATTCCTTCTTTCACCCGATCTTTCCTCCGATCATCACACCTGCGAAGGGACGGCGGTTTTCGGCTCAGCCCCATGGTGCGCGATGGCCTATGGTAACCACGCCTCAAGGTGGAGGTCAGCATTTTCACTCTAAGTCACGACACTCACCGGAATCGGCCATCAGAAAGGTACTCTCACCGGAATCACACGTCGGAAACCCGCGGAATATCTCTTCTCTCTCTCTCTCAATTTGTAATCGGTTCTTAATCTCACTTGGATGAAAAACCGATATATCCCGAAAAACCCCAAACTAAATTCTATATAAACCCTCGTAACAAACTAACTAATTAACAAACTCAACAAACTAATAGTGCTAAAAAGGTTTGGGCTTTTGTACTAGGTTTGGGCTTGGGATAAAAAAGGAGTTAGAATTAAATGGTTGGGCCGATCTGGTAGGCTGGGCTACGGAGTGAGCTAACTATTTTATTTATCGAGGGACTTGTCAGGTTAGGCCTCGAACGGCCAAAATTCCAAACATACTCCACCTATTTTGGCCGTGTTTAACCGAATCTCAAAATACGTATTTACTACATATAGACTTACCTAGCACCAATGGATTTCATCCTCGTCTTTTGTCCATCGCTGCATCTACGAACAAACGTTAACGCAGACAAAACATATCACACAAAGAATACATAGATCCTAACATGTATCTAGATAGATCACATAACAACCTAGCACATAGAATACACAAAAAAAAAAAAACAATCAAGCAACATACATGCATATACACAAAGGAAAGCAATCGCATGCTGAAAACAAAAACATAGAATCACATAATAAGAGCTCCACTTTATTAGATATCTACTAGAGAACACTCAACGCTAGATACAAAGAAAACCTTAGGCACTAAACTCTACGGCTCTAGCACACACCTCTTTAGACTAAGCATAACCTAAGAACTTGGATTGATTGACCACTAACATTAAGATTTCCGGAGACACAACCACTCAGACATCCTACCCAGAAGAACACTCAGCAACCTAGGAGGAAACCTAGAAGAACACTAAGCAACTAGGACGAAACCTAGAAGAACACGTAGCAATTAGGAACAAAGCTAACCCTAGAAGAACACTAAGCAATTAGACGGAAAGCAAAACACTAGGTACCTAGTCGGCCGAACACTAAGACAAAGAGAACCCGGGAGCATAATCACAAAGTAATCAATCAAAACAAGATATAACAAACAACTAATCATATAGCCTAAGAATTATGCATTTTCACCAAGAAATCACATAATGCAAACTAATTTTATTCTTGATTATCCTCCAATTTACAATTCTATTTAGGCATTTTCCAATTAACACCTAACATGCAATATCTAATACACAAAGAAAAGATTTAGCATGCATTCTACTACAACAATTTGGCTAGCACAAATATATTTTACAAGGCTATCAAGATAACCCGAGAAACACACTAAGAATATAATCAAGGAACAAAAAGCTTCCAAGAAATATCACAACGGAAAAATACAAGGAAATAACAATCAATTCCAAGATTATACACCGATCACCAAAAAATGCATAGCCAATCAAGCACCAAAAAATGAATAGCCAACCAACACAAAGAAATTCAACATATTATTTAACAACAATTTCACCAAGATTCACCAAGATATAATATGCCGAAAATAAAGAGTGGAGGGTCCTTTTACCACGATTCGAGTCCTACCAAACTCGAACCAAATTAATCTTTCAATTTCGGAATCGGTTGTCGGGTTTTGATACCACTGTTGTGAATTTATTCCCGGATCTTTGGATTTATCGAACAAACCTCGTATACAAAATACAATAATAAATTAATAGCGAAAGCAAATTAAATCGAATAAGCCCAAATTAAATCTAAAGCGAAATCGAAGTTGAAATTAACACATTATTCTCTAAAGGCAATTATGAAAATCAAAGTAAACACAAAGAAACGGTGCCTTGAATGAATTAAAGAAAACAAAGCAAACTTCCAAGTTTTATTTCTGAAATTCATCCGCGAGATGAAATTGAAGCCACCGACGATAATTCCAAATTCCATTTTGCCGACGACTGCACCGGCGGACTAGCAGCGGCTTGGACTGTGACGGCTCGGCTCCGGTTCAGCATAGACGACTCCAAGTAGCAGGACAACGGCGGCGACACGATCTTCACCGAAACAGACCCGTGCTCGTGATGGACCGATTAACGGTGGCTCCGAGCAGCGACTCCTCCTCCAGTTTTCTCCGGCGAACGACGACGAACAGGTCCGGTGATTCCTTCTTTCACCCGATATTTCCTCCGATCATCACACCAGCGAAGGGACAGTGGTTTTCGGCTCAGCCCCATGGTACGCGATGGCCTATGGTAACCACGCCTCAAAGTGGAGGTCGGCATCTTCACGCTAAGCCACGACACCCACCGTAATCGGCCATCGGAAAGGGTTACTCTCACCGGAATCACACGCCGGAAAATACATGGAATCTCTCTTCTCTCCCTTTCAATCTGTAATCGGTTCTGAATATCTCTTCGATGAAAAACAAATATACCCCCAAGACCCCCAAACTAATTTCTATTTGAACCTTCCTAGCAAACTAACCAATTAACAAACTCAACAAACTAATAGTGCTAAAAAGGTTTCAGCTTTTATTCTAGGTTTGAGTTTGGGATAAAAAAGGGTTTAGGATCAAAGGGTTGGACCGATTCGGTGGGCCGAGCTACGGAGTGGATCAACTAATTTATTTATCGAGAGACTTGTCGTGTTAAGTCTCAAACGACAAAAATTCCCTAACCTTTTTCATAATTCACATAAAAAATATCTCAAACTAAAATATATAAACACACAACTCATTTTTAAATTATTTAAATATATTTTTTGATTTTTTTAATTTATATATTAATTTTTATTTTAAAAAAACAAGACCACTTAATTAAAATAATATCAAACATATTATAATTAAACTCATTAAACTTCTATCGCTTAAATCCAATATGACTAACCAAACGGGTGGATTGAAATGTGCCGAAAGAAGTATGAAAGGAAAAAAAATTGTGTGAGTTTGTGTGGTTTTGATTTCAAAAATAAAATATTAATATTTATTCTATACGATTTTCGAATAAAATATATTATTATTCTTTTATATAAAATAACAATAGTAAAATATTGAATTTTTTTATTTCTTGTTTTGATTTGAATTTTTTTTTATGTAAAATATACTCCCTCTATCTACTTACAATATTTACATATTTTTATTTTGTGACGTCCAATTGCAAAGTTAATATTTTATTAAATATTTTACTTTTTTCCATAAATACCTTTACTTTACATTACATCATTACTTTTACACAAAAAAAAGTAAAGACAAAAATATCATTACACTACTTTTAACTACTCACTATAATTAAAATAATATTATTTTTTAAATACCGTACCAAAAGTAAATATAAACATTGTAAGTAAGTGTACAGAGGGAGTATAAAATTGTATTTGTAATATAAAAATAATATTTTATATTAAATTTTATTTTTGGTAATGAATAAAATATATACATATTAGAAATCATATAAAAGAGAAAATATTGAGCAAACAAACCATTATGTAAATCAAAATTCAAATAAAAAATTAAATTTAAAATTTTATTAAAGACAACATTTTATCGTTAACAAAATTATAATAAAGTTTATAATATATTAGGAATAAGTGAATATTTATATTAGGACATGTTACTCACGTAGTTAATAAATAATTGTAACCAATAAGATCATGATTAAGAAAACTGCCTCACATTTAAATAAAAGCGCAATTATTTGACCCAAAAATTAATGTTGAATCTCAGTAATCAACACGAGTCAACAATTGATATTAAGAGGGTGTGTTTGTTTGAGGGATTTGTTTGAATTTCCACAATTCATTCTATTTTTTCCTTCAAAAAAATATCAAATCAAACACCTATTTTTTATTTTTTATATTATACTAAAAATCAATTTTACATTCAAAATATTACATCAACACCTATTTATATCACATCATACAACTATTCAAATTCAAAATTTTTACTATACAAATCCCAACTCAAAATCCAGACCCTCAAACAAACACACCCTAAATAGACTCCCTCCCTCCATTAAAATTAGTACACTTAGGTCCGACACGAAGTTTAAAAAAAAATATTTTATTAAAAAAATATAAGTAGTTGGGTATTTTTGAAAATTTAGTTAAAAATTAAAATAAATAAAAAAAGAGAATATAATAAAGTTAGTGGTATTTATTGTAAATAAGTATTGAATGAAAGATAATAATTAAATATTGATTTGTTAATTTTGTCAAAATTAATAATGGAATAAATCCATCGAACGGACTAAAAAGAAAAAAATGAGATTAAATTTAAAAGTCGAAGAGACTACTCATTTTAAAATTTGAAAAAGTCTGAAACACCCACAGCATAAGAAACGCATATTCCTCTCGTCATTAATAAATTCCGTAGCTAACTTAAAGGCTATTTTGTCATTTCCCAACCAATTCCCACTCCCAGCGTCAGATTAACGTAACAAGCAATCGACGGTCCAAAGCCAAATCTCCAAGAATCAACCCCAACTCCTCACCGTCGGATTACTACAGCAGCGAATCGACGGCCCAGAAGTAATGTCCTGTTTCGTCATTTCAATAGCCACTCCGGACCGTCACTTAACCGAAACGGTCATAAACTATAAGCTCTTTTTCGTCATTATACGAACCTTAGCTCTCCACCGTCGGATCTCCCAACGACCAATCGACGGTCTAAAACGAGGGTGCAAAGATCGAAGAAAAAAGAAATCTGGTCGGAACGAACGAATAATGATTACCTTTGACTGGAGGAGAAAAATAAATGAATATCTATTTAATTATAATTTTAATTATAATTTTATAGGAAGAATTTTCTTTGCGGCTTTTAGTTCCATTTATATATTTCTTTCGTTTCATCTGCATCTAGTTTTTCTCTCTCTTTTGTTTCGCTTTCTTGAAGAAAGGGAGAGAGAAGAGGATTGGATTTGCTCGCTGCTCCCCAATTTCTTTCCGGATCTCCTCATTTTGTGATGAACTAGAGATTGATTTTCATTTTCCCGAGCGGTGCTGTTCTTTTTGTTTTTCATTCTTTGGGGGATTTTTTTTTTTTTTTTTTTTTTTTGTTTTGGATTTAGTTTGGCAGTTTGTTGGTTAAGCGGATTGGAAGGATGAATATGATGCGACGGGTGAAGAGCATAGCTTCTGGTCGCTCCTCCGTTTCAGATCATGTAAATTCCTTTAATTTCTATATTATTATTATTATTATTATTATTATTATTATTATTTTTATTATTATTATTTCTTCATGTGTATGAGCTTTTTGTGTTATTGTTTCGATGCTCGATGGGAAATTAGTTTGATTGGTGATGCGACGAGAGGCGAAAATGTCCTTGTTTTGATCTTTATTTGTTGGATATTTTGGATCATAAAGACCTGCCTACGTTTATTTCGGATGTTGATTGTAACTTGGTAATGAAATGGACAGGATTAGATTGGATGCTTTGTGTTTCTTTAGAAGATGATATTTGGAATTTTATGGAGTTTGTTTGAACAGGAAGTGGTGTTGTTGTTGTTAGGGTTTGCTTATTATGCAAATTCGTCAAGGTTTTTTGTGTTTTATGTTTTTTACCCTTTCCTTTTCTGATAGCTTATTCTCAATGGATAGTTTTATCTGTGTGAAGGCATTTTTTACGGCAGTGGCCGTTGGATAATTTCTTTCTATTCTCCACGTATTAGTCTATCTTGTAAAACTTGTTTTGGTGCTCAATAAATCATTATATTCATGTATTGGTGAATCTGGATCAGATAGCCAAGATATATATATATATATATATTAGTGGTATAGTGATTGTGGTGTAAGTTCTGTCACATTCTGCATCATTTATGGGTGAAATTTTTCTGTCTTATCTTGGCTGGTGTGTTCTTCTATTCACCCACTTTGGCCCGAGGCAGTCAATGAAGAGTTGGGGCTTGGCTTTGTCTTTATTTTTCTGCATTTTGATTTTAGCTTTTTTCCTTTCGTATGCTGTTTCTTTTCTTGAACGCTATGTGAAGAGTTGAATATGGAAGTCCAACTGTATGCAGGCGAATTCACTCTGAATTATCTCTAAAACTTTCAAAATTTTACTATGAATTTGCAATGCTTAATCTTCTTGCTGCAGGGTGGGGATTCTAATACTAAAAGGGGGAAGCCTGAGCAAAAACCAGAGCCAAGAGCTCCCAATGAAGTTGAGACTGGAGAAAAAGGTTTGAGAGCTCAACAGCGGCATTCCAACACCTCGGCAAATGTTGCAAGTGCATCTGACGTAAATGGTAGACCTAACACCTACAGTGCTGATGGGCTTCCAAATGGAATGCAAGGAATGAAAATTAGAGATGATAAAAATGATAACCAGGAGGAGAATATCAAGGTTGGTTTGAATATTATCCCCATTACGATTTTGGTACATGCTCTGTGCAAAGATATTTGTTGTGGTACTGGTATGCGCTATATGCATATTTGTGCAGCACGTTGAGTGTTACTTGATTGCTTTTTCTGTTCCTGAATTTTTATTTCAGAATATGGAGACTACTGTTGTCAGTGGAAATGGAACAGAAACTGGTCAGATAATTGTGACTTCAATTGGTGGCCGAAATGGACAAGCGAAACAGGTGATTGATTTCAGTGAAATTCCGTATTAGTGTTTATAAAAATTTATTTTCTTCAGGAGACATTTTTCTACTTTACGAAATAAGTTAAGAACATATAACCTTAATTTTCATTACTTCTAACTTCTAATCTATTTTTCCTCAGACATTGTCATATATGGCAGAGCGGGTTGTCGGCACTGGTTCATTTGGAGTTGTTTATCAGGTACTGTTGAATGAAAGATTGTTGTAATTAACAACATTGTGGGGAAAATTCTATTCCTTCTTTTTGTAGGTATAAGGATGACAGACTAATATGCTTCTCTATCCTGTCCAATTTTTTATGTTGAAGGCAAAATGCCTTGAAACAGGAGAATTTGTAGCTATAAAGAAGGTGCTGCAGGACAAAAGATACAAAAACCGAGAACATCAGATAATGCGCTTACTAAATCACCCCAATGTGGTGCAGCTGAAGCATTCCTTTTTTTCCACCACAGCCAAGAATGAGTTGTACCTTAATTTGGTTCTGGAGTATGTATCAGAAACTGTTTATCGGGCTTCAAGGCACTATAGCAAAGTTAACCAGAGCATGCCTGTTTTGTTTGTGCAGCTATACTCGTACCAAGTAAGTTTATAATTGAGCTGCTGTGCGAATTATTATGATTTTTTGAGGCTCTTCCAATTCTAGGCTCATTGTTCATATTTATCAACTTTAATCTTTTACATCTCATATTACTTCATCTGATTTTCAAATTGAAGTCCTAGTTTGGATTGTTTGTCTAAAATTGCAGATGTGCCGAGCAATGAATTATGTACATAGAGTTGTTGGTGTGTGTCACCGTGACATAAAACCACAGAATCTGCTGGTGCGTCCTTTTCGCTTTTAAACCATCTAACACCCAGCCCTTGCTGTTTCCTCTATGTTCATCTCTTATTGTAATCCTAATCTCATTATTAGTTTGAGAATTTAAAAGTTCATCCTTCCTGCAGGTGAATCCTCAAACTCATCAGCTTAAGGTTTGTGACTTTGGAAGTGCAAAGAAGCTGGTGCGTTATTTCCCTGTAAACTCAATTGAAGTCTCCTTCCCATATGTCTATTATTGACATATTTGTCTTGTTCCAGGTACCTGGAGAACCAAATATATCATACATATGCTCACGGTACTACCGGGCTCCAGAATTGATCTTCGGGGCTACTGAATACACTACTGCAATTGACATGTGGTCAATTGGTTGTGTTGTGGCTGAGCTACTACTGGGACAGGTACACATATATGCAACTAACCCCTCTGTGAAAGTTTAAAGCAGACAAAGACACTATTTTTGCTCTTTAATTTCTTCAAAACATTTTCCATCTCTTTTCGTTGGTTCTTGTACTTAGATGCACCCTGGTGGTCCATATTTTGATTTATAAAAACATTTTTGCATTTTTTCCTTTGATATTTATTAAAGATGATATTGCTTAAACGTGTGCAGCCTCTGTTTCCCGGGGAAAGCAGTGTTGATCAGCTAGTTGAGATAATTAAGGTAACCCGAATTTCTGTGTGTTGTTTTAGTCGAGAAACACTCTCTTATTCTGGAACCTCCTCAATCCCGGTGTGCCTATGGCTGAGTTGTTCCTATGTTCTATTCTTGAAAATAGGTTTTAGGAACTCCAACACGCGAGGAAATCAAGTGCATGAATCCAAATTACACTGACTATAAATTCCCTCAAATAAAAGCCCACCCATGGCACAAGGTTTGTTGACATTTTGCCCTTGTATTTCATTGCCGGTTTTGAAACATGTGATTGCCTATAATAGATACCAAGGAAACAAAAAATAAACACATAACAAGAAATCTAAGTGAAGTTATTATCACAGGTATTTCGAAGGAGAGTGCCACCCGAATCAATGGATTTAGTGTCTAGGCTTCTCCAGTACTCACCGTCTTTACGGTGCACTGCTGTAAGCATTTTCTTTTTTCGATCTTAAATGTTTTAAACAGAAGGAAGACCCCATATTGTTTTCACCAGCCAATAACTCCAAAAATCCAATTATTTTATAATATATTTTCAGCTGGAGGCATGTGCGCATCCTTTCTTCGATGACTTGCGAAACCCGAACACATGTTTACCTAATGGGAAACCCCTACCTCCTCTCTTTGACTTTTCACCTGAAGGTACGTTGCATAATACCTTTAATTGTATTGGTTCAGTATTTCTTCTGTTTAGATGCTTTTGATCAATTGTGACGATATGAAATAGATCACTTACTCAGGCAAATAGCAAATTTACATTTCAATCTTAGTTTCTTTTTGATCCTTGTAATTTACTTTGAAATTTATGGTTGTTCACTTAGTGTATTTGAATGAATGTTTTTTTGTTAGGTACGAAAAATTATGTCGGTAATATAAAAATAGTATTTTGTATTAATTATTGATGTTGTTATGTTTTAAATACTACAATCAATCTAGCCATGTAGTAATGACTATCCATGAATTTTTGAGCTTATGATTTGTTTATTTGAATAGAACGAATAGGTAATGGTTTGATGTAAAACAAAAAGCGACAATTTGATGATTGATGTGTTGACGTGTTGGATTAAACTTTTGTTTTCGAAGTATAGTCACTGGTTTGTGGGTACTAAATTCATTGGCGCCTATTGTATAAGCAACTCTATGTTTGTTGTGATTTAGTTTTGGGTTTTAACTGATGTTCAATTCTGTTGATGTAAGAAAATATACATATACTGTAAAAAAAAAAGATGTTTTGGTAGTGTGACGTACAATTCCTTCCTTTTTTTTCGATTTTCTTTAAACTTGTTTTGAATGTTTTTTCCAGAACTTGCGGGTGCACCTCCTGAGCTCATTCAACGAATCATCCCCGAGTATGCCAAGAAGTGAGTTCAGTTCTTCCTCATTATTATTTAAAAACTCCGTAGGCTCAACCGCTTCGAAATGTTGTTGTATTTCTTTTTCAATATATATATATATATATATATAATACACAGGCATATACATACATACATACATTATATAGGGTATTAGCTAGGCATATGCGATGAATGTAGATTTTGGTAGGGGTTTGTTTATTGATGTTCTTTTGTACGTAATATGTTTTCATTGGAAAAATCGAATATCTGTTTATTTTTCATGTATTTGTTTGTGTGTGTATTTATTTATTGACAAATATGTATATCGACTCACTCTATACATTCGTCGGAATTTCACTTTGGAGTGAGTTTTTAACATTTTATATTCATTTATTTCTTCATCGAATTATTATTACATAAATTTAAGATAGTTAACATAAATTCATTTTCCCACGAGTTTTGGAAATGATTACAATAATATTAAATGGGTTGTGTTTGCTTTTAAAATTTTATCGTATTCATTACACTATTTCTAATAAAAAAATTATCAATTTTTTCTAAAATAATTTAAATAGTAGTAAAAATAATTACTTCAATAATGTTTTTATTGTTTTCAGTAATAGTAATTAATATAAAATTTTCAAAAATCTTTGAACATGTGTTTTGTTACGAAATATATACGTAGCACATATGTATATATATATATATATGTAACGTTGTCATGTAATAATTACCTTTACTATTATATATATATATATGCATATATGTTATGAGAAAATGAGAAAGAAAAAAAATAAAGAACACAAAGGTTTTACGTGGTTTGGTGACGGTGTGTCAACTTACGTCAACGGGCAAGAACCGGAGAGGTTTTATTATACTGCAGAGATTTACAATTATGTCATCCGATTAAGAACTATAGTTGTCTATTTATAACCATCCCAAAACATCCTAAATCCTTACCCTATTTGTTATTAATTAGGATAAGCCCAAAAGGAACCCTGCCAATTGAAACAGTCATTTCACTTTGATTTCGGGTCGGGTAGACCGCTAAATCCAATTCACGTTTCAACAATCTCCACCTTGACTTGGAGTTTCTCCGACCGCCAAAAGTATGTCAGTATCTCTCAGTTGTCTCATTCCTGCTAGATACCCCAAGAGGGCTTTACCTCCTGCGAAAATTCACCAAGTTCAAACAATGTTCGAACTTCTTTGTAGGCAGCGCCTTTGTCAACATATCAGCTGGATTGTGTTATGTAGCTATTTTCTGAATAGAAAAATTGTCTTCCTCTAGAACATTACGAATAAAATTCAACCTTACATCAATATGTTTGGTTCTCTCATGATACACTGGATTTTTAGCCAAACTTAAAGCACTTTGACTATCACAGAATAACACCGGTTTCTCCACCTTCAGACCCAAACTATGCACCAGACCATGTAACCAAATACCTTCCTTAATACCTTCAGTCATTGACATGTATTCCGCCTCAGTCGTCGACAGTGCAATCGTAGGTTGTAAAGTAGACTTCCAACTGACTGCACATCCAAACAGAGTGAAGATAAAGCAAGTCAGTGATCTTCGTTTCACCAAGTCACCCCGTAATCAGAGTCTGCATAGCCAATAAGACCATCAACATAGCCTTTATCATCATATACCAGACAAATATCAGACACTCCTTTCAAATATCGCAAGATCCACTTTACAGCTCCCCAGTAAGCTTTACCTGGATTAGCCATAAATTTGCTCACTACACTAACCGCATAAGCGAGATCCGGTCTCGTACATACCATCGCATATATAAGACTTTCAACTGCACTTGAATATGGAACCGTCTTCATGTAGCTAACCTCTTCATCTGTACACGGAATAGTGCTTCGATCAAGTTTAAAGTGTGCCGCCAAAGGGGTACTTATCGGTTTGGACTGATTAACAGAGAATTCCTGCAAAACTTTCTCAATATACTTTTCTTGAGAAACCCATAGCCGCCCTGCTTCTCTATCACGCCAGATCTCCATACCAAGTATTTTCTTTGCCGCACCCAAATCCTTCATCTCAAACTCACCCTTTTGTAGAGTCTTCAAGTCATTAATTACAGCCATGCTTTTAGCTGCAATTAATATATCATCCACATACAACAGCAGATACACGAAGGAATTAGTAGAAACTTTCTTTGAGTAAACACAGTTACCAAATTGATTACGAGTATAACCATTAGACACCATGAATGAGTCAAATCTCTTGTACCATTGCCTCGGAGATTGCTTCAAGTCATACAGAGATTTCTTTAACAAGCATACCTGGTCCCCTTTAGAACTGTAGAACCCCTTCGGTTGAAACATGTAAATCTGTTCTTCTAGATTACCATGGAGGAATGCTGTTTTTACATCAAGCTGCTCCAGCTCCAGATCAAAAGCACCCACCATTGCCAAAAGAACCCGAATGGTTTTGTGTTTCACCACATGAGAAAAGACTTCATGGTAATCGATTCCTTCCTTCTGTGAGAACCCTTTTGCCACCAGTCTAGCCTTGAACCTAGCAGGTTAAACACCAGGAATTCCTTCATTTCTTTTAAAGACCCACTTGCATCCCATTGGCTTCACCCATTTTGGTAGTGCAATAAGATCCCAAGTCTTGTTCTTTTCAAGAGACTGCATCTCTTCATTCATTGCCATAATCTAGGTTTCTGCATCTTTACTCGCTACAACTTCTTTGTATGTCTTTGGCTCATCAGAGCCAAGATCATCACCAACCGCCAGTGCATAAGCAACAGAATTCATGTCACATGTATTGACACATCCTGGAAACCTAGCTGGTTTCTGAATATTTCTCTTTCCCTTTCTTACTGCTATGGAATCTTCAACCCCAGTACCAGCATCATCACTTTCCCCCTCAACCGGTTTCCCTTGAGGTTTTGACTGATCTGATTTATCGGATTGATCAATAGTATTATCCTACTGCTCTTCTTCTAACACAACTCTGTCATGAGTCTCAAACTCCACCCTCTGGTCAGCACCACAATCTTTTGTACCTGCAGTACTTTCACAACCTCTACTCTGATCAAGCATAGCAGATCCATCAAAGGTTACATCTCTGCTAATAAGAACTTTACCAGGATTTTTACCTTCTGTACACCACAGTCGATAACTTTTTAGTCCTGTTGCATACCCTAGAAATATGCATTTTACCGCCCTCGGCTCCAGTTTACCATCATTCACATGAGCGTACGCAGGGCATCCAAATAGTCTTAGATTAGAGTAATCAGAGGGTTACCGGACCATACCTCTTGAGGAGTCTTTAAGTCAATTACAGTTGATGGAGATCTATTAACCAGATAGCTAGCAGTGTTAACTGCTTCAGCCCATAATTGCTTAGATAAGCCAGCAAATATGCGCATACACCTAGCACGCGCCATGAGGGTTTGGTTCATTCGCTCTGTAACTCCATTTTGCTGTGGTGTGTGTCGTACAGTGCGGTGCCTCACTATACCTTCTTTCTTGCAGAAATCATCAAATGGAGCGTTGCAGAACTCCAACCCATTATCAGTTCTTAGAGTCTTGACCTGTTTACCCGTCCGTTTTTCAACCATTGTCTTCCACTCCTTGAACTTCCCAACACCTCAGCTTTAGTCTTCAGAAAGTACAACCAGACTTTTCTCGAATAATCATCTATGAAAGTGACAAAGTAAGAACACCCGCCTTGCGATTTCACCGGAGAGGGACCCCATAGATCTGAATGAACATTCCAGAATTTTTTTTGAAGTGTGATGACCGGTACTAAACCTCACCCTGCGTTGCTTCCCTTTTACACAAGCCTCACAGAATTGAATTTTACCTATCACATCCCCACCAAATAAACCCTGCTTGCTCAACACAGACAACCCTAGCTCACTCATTTGACCTAATCGACGGTGCCATAAATTTGTCCTATCATCATGTTTATCCAATGACTGGGATACCGCCGCCGTTCCCATCACTGAAATGCCCTGTAGAAAATAAATTCCATGCTGCAGTTTTCCCTTCATCATTAGTAGAGCACCTTTCAAGATTTTCACCCACTCACCTTCACCATGATATTTTAAACCATTCTTGGCTAAGGTGCCAAGAGAAATCAAATTCTTTCTGAGTTTAGGAACATACCAACAGTCAAATTTTCTGACACTACCGTCATGCAATTTTATATGCACTATCCCGCTCCCCTTTATGGCTAGAATCCCATCATCACCTAACTTTACCGTTCCATTCAACTCCTAGTGAGTAGATCACGAGAGAATGTCATATGGTGAGAAGCACCGGCATCCATAATCCAGGAATCAGCAGTACTAGCACTACACGCTGTCAGAACTTCACCAAAGTCCCCATCATCATCAGAACTGTCTTGTACCACAGCAACACTGCTGCCACTGTTACTATAATCAACTTTTGCATTTCCCTTCTTCTGTGGACAATCTCTTTTAACGTGCCCCTTCTCCTTGCAAAGATAACACTTAAATTTGCTAGAGAGTTTTGATTTTGAACGCGACCTCCCATTCCCGTTACCCATCTCCTGTGGTCTTTCCCTACCTGCAAACAGACCTGAACCAGAACCTTCTTCCACATAAACCTTTCTTTTCAATTCTTTGGACATAAGGGCATCTTTCACATCATAACAAAAATTGTAGTTCTACTATATAGCATAGTATCTACAAAATTCTCATATGAACCAGGTAGTGAACACAGTAAAATTAGGGCTTGATCTTCATCATCTACTTTAACCTCAACTCCTTGAAGATCAAGAATGATACGGTTAAAGGTATCAAGGTGATCTTTTACCTGAGTACTTTCGGACATCCGGAGGGTGTAAAGACGTTGCTTCTGATATAGTCTGTTCGTGAGAGAGTTGCTTTGGTACTTCTCACACAGTTTATTCCATAACCCAAAAGCCGTTGTCTGATCTACAACCTCCCGTAACACCTTATCAGTAACTGACAGCAAGATCGCGGAATGAGCCATTGCCAAAATCTCCTTATTTACCTCATCCTTCGTGTCTTTAGGAAACTTGTCTTCTCCTTCCAACGCAGCCGCACATCCTTGTTGAACCAGAAGTGCCCTCATCTTGACCTTCCAGAGCGTGAAGTCATTCGACCCATTAAACTTCTCCAGATCAAACTTATACGAGGACATCTTCAATCAATGAGATATGGCTCTGATACCACTTTTTATGAGAAAACGAGAAAAAAAGCAAATAAAAACATAGAGGTTTTACGTTGTTCGGTGACGGTGTGTCAACCTACGTCCACGGGCAGAAACCGGAGAGATTTTATTATACTAATTCTGAGATTTACAATTATATCATCCGACTAAGAATCATAGTTGTCTAT